TGGTTTTGGTGATTTCCCGCAAGGGATCTGCGATCAGTGCCAGTATGGCCTGAAACATCCAGAAAATCGGATGCCTCTCAAGAAAGCCACAAGGTTCGTTGGACAGGAGGAGATCGTGGCCGAGTTGAGGAAGAGATGCCCAGGCAATCATGAGCATTTCCCCATCGAAGGTTCTGTCCGAACCAAGGATGGCACCATCTCCCTGTCATCTTGGGCAGGTGGTTATCCAGTCCCGCTGTGCCGAGCGATCATGACTGGGGTGATCAACTATATCCACCGACCAGATGGCAAGCAGGTCTACGTCTTGGAGGACCACGTGGCGGAAGAATCCTATCAGGATGGTATGGATGCAATCCGAGAAGAGGAGGAACAGATCGCAGAAGAGCTGGCAGAGCCAGAAGAGGATGAGCGGCGAGCTGTGCCGCGAGAGGTGCAAAAAGCTGTCGAGTTTGCACACCGACAGTTGGGTCACCCGAGCCGGGATACCCTCGTGAGGATGCTGCGCATCTCTGTGGCAACTGAGGAGGCTATCCGCCATGCTCGGCGATGGCGCTGCGAAGTTTGCAGCCAGCAGCAACCTCCAAAGCACCCCATGGCTTCAACTCCCACTTTGAGGCCGTATGGTTTCAATCGCAAGATCCACATCGACATCAAGTTCGTTTTTGATAGCCGTGGCCGAAAGTACCCATGCTTGAGCGCAGTTGATTTGGGTACAACGTACCACATGGCAGTGCTACTCAAAACACGACGGTCGGACTATGTGGCCCAAAAATTTCTGAGGCACTGGGTTCAAGTGTTTGGAGTGCCTGAACATATCACCCATGATCAGGGTGGAGAGTTCGAGCTCTCATTCATCCAGCTTTTGGAAGAGATGGCAGTGCCCAGCACGGTGACAGGTGCTCATGCAGGATGGCAGCTGTCTGTGGGAGAACGCCATGGTTCCATCCTTGGCAATATGATTACAGCGATCACCACAGAGCACAACTCAGAGGGGTTCAGCGCCATGAAGTTGGTGATCTCATCTGCAGTTGCCGCCAAGAACATGACGGTGACCAAGGACGGATTTACTCCAAATCAACGCCTTTATGGCGCCGAAATCAAGTTCCCAAGTCTCACCGAAGACACCGCCAAGCCCACCTTTGCAGAGGCTCTGGACGCGGAATCGGAATATGCCAGAGCTCATCGCATGCGCATTTGCGCAAGGTTGGCATTGATCCGCATGGATGTACAAGAGAAGTTGCGCAGGGCCATCCTGCGTAAGCCTGCCCATGAAGGAGAGGGACCATTCAGTCCTGGAACCCAGATCTACTTCTGGACACCAAGGAAGGCCGACAAGCGGTACAAACGTGGTGGACTTTGGCGGGGACCCGCGACTATTCTCACGCGAGAAAGCAAAGAGCGCTACTTTGCAAGCTGGAGAGGCCGCGCCCTCCTTCTGGCAGCGCCCAACATACGTTTGGCGACAAAGGAGGAGCTGGCACTTCGTGAGCCTGCGAAGGAGGACGCAGATGATTTGGGGGAGTTGCTGCGCGACCCTCACAGGGAGAAGACCTACAAGGACCAAACTCGCTTGAAACCACCTCCAAGGGTCGTCAAGCGAAAAGCTGAACCCGACACACCAGAAAGGAAAAGAGCCCGCATGCTTCTGCGGGGAACCAAATCAATCCGCCAGATCCTTCAGGACCGCTCGAACCTCATGAGACAGTTCCGGAAGAGAAAGGCGGAGAAACAGATCGAAGACCAACCCGAGCCGAAGAGGGTATCTCGACCAAAGAGGCCCAAGGCTCTCGAAGATGGACAGGCAGCACCTGAGGTGTCGCCTCTACCACCTCCACCCGATCCACTGGCTGGAGAAGAGGAGGAGGTCATGTCAGAGGCCTACACACCTGGAACACCAATCAATGACAATGATGGCGAGCCGCCACATATCGATACGGATGATGAAGGTTTGGATGAGCCATCCGCGGTTGAGGCCGAGCCTCCCACAGTCAGGGCACCGCACGAAGTTCCGGTGCCACCCATGCATGATGATGAGTGGGAGGCCGAGTTTCTCAAGAAGATTCCAGGAGAGGAAAGGAGAAGGTTGGCTCTGGATGACGTGCCATTTTCCCTCAAGCGAAGGCACGAAGGAATCGACGATGCTCAGGCTGATGAGGCCATTAAGAGGCTGAGGGCCAATTTCTGTGCACAGGTGGCCGCGACCACTGTGTTTGGCTCCCTTCAAAATGAATGGGTCTCAAGATATGAAGTGGACCTATTGAAACAGCTGACAGGACTTCCAGTCACAGCAGCCAGGATCCACAGAAGCCCAAGGAAAAGATTTCAGAGACCCCCGAAGATGACAAGCCGTTCCAGGCTGAGCATCCTCATTGGGAAGAATCCCGAGGACACCTTCATCGTGAATGAGACTGAAGAAGAAGTGCGCCACAATCCCAGGCGCCGTGCCAGTTTTTACTGGAAAGGAATGACCATCTTCTACAAGACGCACAAGGAAGGTGAGACCGAGCCGGTCTACATTCAGCTCCCTGATGGTCTTTACAAGGCGGATTTCAAGCCGCATGAAGCCCAGGAGTTTGAATCCTTGTGGACTGAGGAGATCAAAGACCTGCTCACATCGGAGGCCTTGATCCTCAAACTCAAGAAATGTGGGAAAGAGTTGGATCCCACCTTTTTCGATGAGAAGGAGCAGGCTGCCTTTGACATCTCTGACAAGAAGGAGTGGTCGGAATGGATTAAGAATGGTGTTGTGCAGCGCGTGACACCGGAGGAGGCAGAGAAGATCCCGCGAGCCAACATATTCCGTGCACCACTGCGGATGCTTCGCACAAACAAGCAATCAAACCGGCTGCTGCCGTTGGTCGCCAAATCCAGGTTGATCGTCCCAGGACACCTGGACCCACAACTCGGCGAGTTCAGGACTGATAGCCCTACGTGCCCGCAGGCTACAGTTCGGGCAGCAAAAGCGGTTGCATCCGCACGGAATTGGGGTGGCACAACATTTGATGTCACCACCGCATTTTTGAGTGGCAAGAATCTACAGAGGAAGGTCTACATCAGGGCACCTCGTGAGGGATTACCCTCTGTGGAGAAGTGGCCACCAATTCAACCAGGTGAGCTTTTGCAGATCCTCAAGTCCGCGTACGGATTGACAGAAAGCCCACGATTGTGGTACCTGGAGGCCCTTGATCGTATGAAGAAAACAGACCTCCAGGAGCTTGAGATCTGCAAATCCTGCTTTGTGGCCAGCGGCCAAGATGGGCGTAGCTACGCCATACTTTGTCTCCATGTTGATGACGGGCTTTTATTGGGTGACTTGAGCGACCGCAGGGTCCAACGACTCAAGGAACAAATCAATGGTATGTTCACCATAAAAGCCTGGAAGGAATTGTCTGCGGACACCCCACTCCAATTTTTGGGTGTGGATGTGACCCAAGATGCCCGCGGCATCTGTGACGACATGTCCCAGTACATCAAACAGATTCGAATCGAACCTTTGCAAGGAAGTGGAGAGCTGGGACCACGCGAGGTGACATTGTACCGCCAATTGGTCATGCGTTTGCGCTGGCCGGCACAACAGGTGTTACCACATCTCCTGTACCAGGTGTCCAACCTCGCACAAAGGGTCAACAAAGCTACGCATGCTGACTATCGTGAAGCGGTTAAACTTCACGGTCAGTTTTTGGATGAAGTTGAAAAGGGCCGCGCCCGACTTTTATACCCCAAGCTCAACGAGAAGGACAAGCTCTTCTACGTCAGCTACTTCGATGCTTCGGTTGGGAAAGAACAGGACGGCAAATCACAGCTTGGAGCCGTCCACTTTCTTACAACAGAGCAAGCTCGAAAAGGGCCAGCGCCAGCTTCAGTGATCGAGTTCTCAACGAACAAAAGTGGTCGGGTGCTACGCAGCTCTATGTCAGCGGAAAGCTGCTCTATGAGTGGATGTGTTGACCGACACCTATATGGGCGTCTGGTCATTGACCGACTCCTTTTTGGAAATCGACCCCTGGATGCCAACTGGCGTACATCGATGGGCCTGGACGGTGGCGTTGTGACGGACGCCAAGAGTTTGTACGACCACCTCTCCACGACGGGCCAATTGCCGACAGAGCGGCAAACAATGCTCGATTTGATGGTGTCGCGACATCATTTGGAGAGTGGTGCCTATGAGCTTTTCTGGGTACCTACGCATAGGCAGTTTGCAGACTGCCTGACCAAAAAGATGGTCTGCCTCCTGTGGCAGAGTTTCTGTCAAGTGCCACGCATCTCCCTGCGTGAAACGCCGGAGGAGAAGGCACTGGAGGACCATCGACGCAAGCTGCGTCAGGGCCAAAGGCAGCGCCGAAAGGCCAAAATGAAGAAAGGCTGCGCCCCCGCACCGGCTGCGCCGGTTAATTAATCTGCCAGCACACCAACACACTTTCCTTGCAATGTGAAAACCATGTGTTGGTAGGTGTAAGCTTGGTGTGCGGCAGTTTGCATTTTCACTTTTTGCATTTTAGCCGCTTTTCACCGCAGCTTGACTCAAGCGCTGCTCTAGCGAAAATAGCTGCTTTTGCCCCTTTTACTCTGAGCCCAATTTGCTACCCTTGCACTCCGCACTGAACACATTTGCTAAAAACGTTCATCAAAAGGGGACCAAAAAATGCCACAGGCACCATCACCAATAGTCAATGGTATCAATGTCAATAGTGGTTTCTTTTACATGCCCTGATTCTTGAGTCAGGTCACAGCCCCAGGGTTTTTTCAGGTTTTTTCTCATGGGTGGGATGGTGATTCATCCCATGCCCCCAGTATGAATAATATTAGATACCTCCTACATGGATCCTCAACATTTTCACAGATCCAATGTACCAAACTAGGTTTCAATTTTTAGGGGGACGGGATTCGCACCAATCAATAACTCATCATTTACCATTCAATAGTTCGTTTTTCCCCTTAAAAGACGAATCGAGCCCCAAAAAAAAAAGACGATCCTCCTGTGGCAGTGGATCCCCTGGAAGGCCCAAGTGGCCCAAGTGTTTCTGGCGCGGAGCGTGGATGTGCTCTCTGGAGCCAAGCTTCTGGAGATGTGGGGCTCTGTGAAAAATGGGGGGGATTGATCCTACGCCATTTATGGCTAGTTTGAGATGTTTGGAAATGGCGTAGGCATCAACAAAACACATTTTTAGGGATCAAAAGAAACATTTTTAGGGATCAAACCTGTTTGGAAAAGGGGAAGATGAGGTTTTGAACGAAATCTAACCATCAGTTCATCAGTTATTTTTTCCCGTCATCTCAAATTTTAGTTGGACCAGAGCCGCTGATTCTGTGATTAAAGCGGCTCGCTATGGTTGACCCTACTGTCGTTTTCATTATTTTATTGGTCCCGTATATTCCAACGACTGATTTACCGCCAAGACTGCACGGTTGAATGGCTCAAGAAATGACAAGCCGCCAAGCCGTTTGAGGGTCCATGAAGTCCATCTAGCCTCCAAAATCTCCATAGCCATTTGATGGCTTTGCTGGCTTGGAAGGACTACCTTCAGCAGCTCTCATCAGATTCATCGAAGCGTTTTGATGCAGTGTAGCTTGGATTCTTGGCTGCAACCAGTGACTTGTTTCTGCTTTTGCTGGACACTGGAAATCAAGGACTGTCCGGGATTGTTTTGGCAGAGGGAAAGTCATATATATATATATATAATTTACTCTATAGGAGAACTGCCACAGGTAGAGATTCCACAACCAGTTTTTTTTGGTGCAAGGTCACCAAGGCATTTGTTCTGCTCTGTGCCTGCAATCCTAGTGGATACATCATGCACTCAGGATATGACGGTGGCCGAGCTATGACATCCTCTCAGTTTCTAGGTGAATTTACCCTCTGGTAATTTAACATGGCTATGGAAAATCACCATTTTTAATGGGAAATTCCACTATAAATGGCCATTTCCAATAGCTTTTTGTATGTTTACCAGAGGGTATGGCAGATTTTGATGATCTCAGCGTCGCGAAAAAAATTCCACTGGCGTTTTTGGCGAATTCTGAGGCTTCACAGCTGCAGTGAGTGGTCGCATTTGAACACCTTACTCTCCTTGAAGCTACTGTCTCCCACTGCACTGCTGGCTGCCACTTGTCCATTCAGACCAGGCGCCAGGCAGTTTTTCGGATGTTTTCTGGAACTTGGCCCATTGGGGTGCCCTAAACGCCCAAAGGTTTTCCATGGTTTTCACCATCATTTCGATGATCAGATGATCAATTTGGGATGATTTGAAGGGGTGATTTGGGGTACCACCATTTCTGGAAATCCAAGGTCTGTGTGGCCTATGTGTCAACGGCCGAAGTCTGGGTGGACAGCGCTATCGACTGGACCTTCCATGGTTTGAACAAGGTGAGTCACAGGGACCCAAACTATCCCAAACTGTGGGGAGCTATACCACTTACATGTGCTTTAGTAATGTTTAGTAGGGCTTGTCATAATCGAAACGAATGTCTCTGAAGCAGCCAGCATTTTGCCAGATGGCCATGGAATGCCATGGATTCCATTTGGGAGGCCTGCCAGCGGCATGGATATGGGATCTCCGCATCGTCCGTCATCAAATTCACCGCAAACAATTCTCGCTTCGCCAGCAGCTCAGCAACGGAATGGTGTGAGCTGAGCTGTACCATGGGAACCCAGGCTTTACTGGTGCGCTTGGGCAATTCAGAGCCTGTTGCGAAGGCAGGGAAAAGACGTGGCAAACGCAATGATGCACCCAAAATGTTGAATCGGTTTGGAATGGTTGATTTTCTAAGCCCCCCCTTAAATGGTTTTATGTTCGGGGCAACCCTTCGCCACGGTTTGACACTGACCAGGCAGTGGGCCCAGCTTTGGGTGATTTACAGAGTGATCAGGTGGAATACTTCAGTTCCTGGTCGCAATGGGTTGGGTTTGCCCCAAATTCATCCAACTTGGGTCAGAAATGGTCGGAATAAATTTGTCTTGTTCCGTTTTTTTCCCCCAACTTGTGTCATATTATAGATTTACAGATCCTTTTCTTGGGGAGTTTACAGGTATCTTCCCATGTTCAACCCATGCCCAGTTGTTCAATGGCTTGAAGTTTCAGACTTCCAGAAGTCAGCTTCTACTTGAGGTGTCTGGAATCCCCATCGACCAAAGTTTCCCTCCGGGGAAGCTCGAAGATTGAAACGCCTAGCTCCGGTGCTGACACTTGTGCGTCGGCAACTCAGCGGGGACGTTGCTGTCACTTTGCCAGCAACCTTTGATGTGCTACATGGTTATTATGGATGTGATGGGACCTTAAGGGACACCTGTGGGTCAAGATGTATACCGGCCCTCAGGTCCACAATGGTCCACAGATATACTTCGAGCATAGTAAACTCATGCCAACCCCAGAGTATAGTAAGTTGCTGGGCTGTTTATTTGGGTACCGTCACTATTTGGGGAGGATCCCCCCGATGTCTAGTCAACCAAGTTTCTCCATGTCCACTCCAAGGAGGTGAACAGACTCTCCTACACGAGCCCGGCTTTTTGGTGCTGCGGCCCATGCTGAAGCAAGTGATTTGTTCCCAGGCAGAGACATCTGGGTCTCAATTGGCTCGGGGATACCTGGATACCTATGGCCATTCAATGGGGAAACGAAAGTGAGCAGATTTTGAGGATAAATTGAGGTTCCAGAAAGTGAGACAACCCCACCTGAAGAGCTCCAGGAAGTGCATGTCGTCCCTGCTATGCTTGATCCGAGGTTGTTCCTGCGATGATCCAGTGGTCCAAGATGAACTTCAGAGACAAGGACTCCAGGACCGGATGCACATGGACTTGGGAGTTGGCTTGGGACCGGAACATCCCAATATGGCAAAAAGGACCTTGGAGTGCCATGATGATCACGGTATCCCATTTCCATTATCCCCATATATCACCATTATATCCCCACTAGCAAAACATTTCATTTCAGTACACCCTATCTATTTGTTGTTTGTAAATCCCATATATTGATTTGTAAATCCCATTATATCCCCATTATATCCCCATTATATCCCCATTATATTTCAGTTGTTTGTAAATCCTGATTCTTTGTTGATTAGATGCCATCAACAGGCCGTGGAGTCCACGGTCGTTGATGCCGCGATCTTGCAGAGCTGTCGTGTCTCGGCCGAGACCCCAAGTGGGGGATAACCCAAATTGATCCACTGGAGGTTTTCTGAAATGGCGGTACCCCTTATAAACCATCCAGCGATATATAAAGGGTACCCCATTTATGATTAAACATCCATAAAAATATAGAACACTTTAGAACAGTGATGTAATTTACGGGGGAATGCTTTGGATTGTCCTTCAGTGATTGTAAGGACGATCAAATTTGAGGTCAGCGAATTTTCAAAGATGCTACGATGTTACTTGCGTTATAGCTGCAGTTACTCCCCAGCTATGCAATGGTCATCCGTCATCCCAGGTACCTTGGCGCTTCTGGAAGACTGTGGTCCAGTAATCTGGAGTCAGCGCTGGAAGGATTTGGTGATGCGATGGATGGAGCAGCACCAGGAGAATCTCTTGCTGAACCAAGCGATTCTGCTGCTGTTGATGGAAGCCGCTTGCTGTCAGAAGGGCTCACGGGGTCAGCCTGAATGGGTTGGCTCAAGGGAACATCTACACAGGAATCCGCGATTTTTTGCTACTTTTTTCCGTTCAAAAGATGGAGGTTCCCTGAATTTTTCCCCGTAACACAATTCAATGATGATACATTAAAACTGTCATTTTCATGAGGAATATATTTAAGGGCTGCCGCCCCTGCCGCCGACCCCGGTAAAGAATCGGGGATTGCTGGTGAAACAGGCAAGCTGTGTGACGAGAAACTTTGGCAAATGCATTATCACAAGCAAGAAACCAGCAGCCAGACACCTTTTGTAAAACACAACCGAAACAGCAAAACACCACCTAATTTCGTGCCGAACATAACGCAAAATCAATCACAATAATAGGTTTTCGGGGGCCGAAACGTCCCTTCTGAAATCCTACTAGAAATCCAATTTTGTCCAATAGAAATCTAATTTTAGTCAAATTTGATTGATCGCTAATTTTGATTGCTGCTGCTACCTCTAATAAAGCAAGAAACCAGCAGCCAGACACCTTTTTTAAAACACAGCCGAAACAGCAAAACACCACCCAATTTCGTGCCGAACATGACGGAAAATCAATCACAATATTAGGTTTTCGGGGGCCGAAACGTCCCTTCTGAACTCCTACTAGAAATCCAATTTTGTCCAATTTTGATCTCTAATTTTGACTGCTGCTGCTGCCTATAATAAAGCAAGAAACCAGCAGCCAGACACCTTTTTTAAAACACAGCCGAAACAGCAAAACACCACCTAATTTCCTGCCGAACATGACGCAAAATCAATCACAAGAATAGGTTTTCGGGGGCCGAAACGTCCCTTCTGAAATCCTACTAGAAATCCAACTTTGTCCAATAGAAATCTAATTTTGTCCAATTTGATCTCTAATTTTGATTGCTGCTACTGCCTCTAATAAAGTAAGAAACCAGCAGCCAGACACCTAATTTCGTGCCGAACATGACGCAAAATCAATCACAATAATATACCAATGTTTATAGTTTTCGACCAATGTTTATACCACTGTTTGTTGCTGCTGTTGCCTCTAATAAAGCGAGAAACCAGCAGCCAGACACCTTTTTTAAAACACAGCCGAAACAGCAAAACACCACCCAATTTCGTGCCGAACATGACGGAAAATCAATCACAATATTAAGTTTTCGGGGGCCGAAACGTCCCTTCTGAAATCCTACTAGAATCCAATTTTGTCCAATTTTGATCTCTAATTTTGATTGCTGCTGCTACCTCTAATAAAGCAAGAAACCAGCAGCCAGACACCTTTTGTAAAACACAGCCGAAACAGCAAAACACCACCTAATTTCGTGCCGAACATAACGCAAAATCAATCACAATAATAGGTTTTCGGGGGCCGAAACGTCCCTTCTGAAATCCTACTAGAAATCCAATTTTGTCCAATAGAAATCTAATTTTAGTCAAATTTGATTGATCTCTAATTTTGATTGCTGCTGCTGCCTCTAATAAAGCAAGAAACCAGCAGCCAGACACCTTTTTTAAAACACAGCCGAAACAGCAAAACACCACCCAATTTCGTGCCGAACATGACGGAAAATCAATCACAATATTAGGTTTTCGGGGGCCGAAACGTCCCTTCTGAACTCCTACTAGAAATCCAATTTTGTCCAATAGAAATCTAATTTTAATCAAATTTGATCTCTAATTTTGATTGCTGCTGCTGCCTCTAATAAAGCGAGAAACCAGCAGCCAGACACCTTTTTTAAAACACAGCCGAAACAGCAAAACACCACCCAATTTCGTGCCGAACATGACGGAAAATCAATCACAATATTAAGTTTTCGGGGGCCGAAACGTCCCTTCTGAAATCCTACTAGAAATCCAATTTTGTCCAATTTTGATCTCTAATTTTGACTGCTGCTGCTACCTATAATAAAGCAAGAAACCAGCAGCCAGACACCTTTTTTAAAACACAGCCGAAACAGCAAAACACCACCTAATTTCGTGACGAACATAACGCAAAATCCATCACAATAATAGGTTTTCGGGGGCCGAAACGTCCCTTCTGAAATCCTACTAGAAATCCAATTTTGTCCAATAGAAATCTAATTTTAGTCAAATTTGATCTCTAATTTTGATTGCTGCTGCTGCCTCTAATAAAGCGAGAAACCAGCAGCCAGACACCTTTTTTAAAACACAGCCGAAACAGCAAAACACCACCCAATTTCGTGCCGAACATGACGGAAAATCAATCACAATATTAAGTTTTCGGGGGCCGAAACGTCCCTTCTGAAATCCTACTAGAAATCCAATTTTGTCCAATTTTGATCTCTAATTTTGACTGCTGCTGCTACCTATAATAAAGCAAGAAACCAGCAGCCAGACACCTTTTGTAAAACACAACCGAAACAGCAAAACACCACCTAATTTCGTGCCGAACATAACGCAAAATCAATCACAATAATAGGTTTTCGGGGGCCGAAACGTCCCTTCTGAAATCCTACTAGAAATCCAATTTTGTCCAATAGAAATCTAATTTTAGTCAAATTTGATTGATCGCTAATTTTGATTGCTGCTGCTACCTCTAATAAAGCAAGAAACCAGCAGCCAGACACCTTTTTTAAAACACAGCCGAAACAGCAAAACACCACCCAATTTCGTGCCGAACATGACGGAAAATCAATCACAATATTAGGTTTTCGGGGGCCGAAACGTCCCTTCTGAACTCCTACTAGAAATCCAATTTTATCCAATTTTGATCTCTAATTTTGACTGCTGCTGCTGCCTATAATAAAGCAAGAAACCAGCAGCCAGACACCTTTTTTAAAACACAGCCGAAACAGCAAAACACCACCTAATTTCGTGCCGAACATGACGCAAAATCAATCACAAGAATAGGTTTTCGGGGGCCGAAACGTCCCTTCTGAACTCCTACTAGAAATCCAACTTTGTCCAATAGAAATCTAATTTTGTCCAATTTGATCTCTAATTTTGATTGCTGCTACTGCCTCTAATAAAGTAAGAAACCAGCAGCCAGACACCTAATTTCGTGCCGAACATGACGCAAAATCAATCACAATAATATACCAATGTTTATAGTTTTCGACCAATGTTTATACCACTGTTTGTGCAATGAGACATAGAACCCTCCTGTTGCTCCTGTTGCTGCTGCTGCTCATGGCCACCACTTGAAACGCTGAAACGCCACCTAATTTCGTGCCCAAAACGCTCCAAAATCGAGCCCAAAAAGTGCCTAACGTCCCTTCTGAAATCCTAGAAAAAAAAAGAATTGCCTTTGTGATGATAACCGTCTTGTCAAACACCTTCTATTTCCTCCTGCTGCTGCTGCTGCTCCTGCTCCTGTGACTCCTTCTGTTCAAAAGGCACCTGCCGGATGGGAAAACACCATGGCAGTAGTAGTAGTAGTAGTAGTAGTAGTAGTAGTAGTAGTAGTAGTCCGAAACAAGAGTCAAAAGTATTATTCCCTGGCACGCTCCCCCTTGCGTCTGCCGGGGTCGGCGGATATTGACTGCTGGCTACTGGCTGGGTGCTGCTGTCTTATTCCCTAACGCGCTCCCCCTTGCGCAGCCGGGGTCGGCGGATATATATATATAATACATATTTTGATTAGCTAGTCGATTTTAATGCGATTTAGGGGTACCAAACCTGTTTAGGAAGGCTGGATAACCAGGATAAACAACATTCCAGAAGCCTTCCGAGGCTTCTCAGCTTGAAGCCTTTCAGCACCTGTGTCAGGAGCTGAAAGGATCAGGCCGGTGCTGGCGATAATTGATTTCCTGTATCGTGAAATAAGTGATGAACAGTTTTCTTTTCTGATCTCCACTTTCTTGGCCCAACTAGTATTACAACCTTGAGATTCTGTGTTACAATCTGCACTCTAAAAAACCATATATATATATATAATTACATATATATATATAGATATATATCTTATACACATATCATAGACATATGGTATTGTCAGATTGTCCACAGGTGGTTGCAAGCTCACAATGTTCAGCTTCATCCATGGCGCTCGTCGATGGGGCTTCGCTCTCCTGTCGGTGGGATGCTGCGGATGCTGCGCTTGTTCCGTTGTTAATACATGGTTAATACATGGTTAATACATGGTTACAGGAATAAAGGGTGAATAAATGGTGAATACATGGTGAATAAATGTTAATATATATATATATACACAAATGGTTAACACATGGTGAATACAGGATTAATCAATGGTTAATCATAGTCGAGAATGCTTTATCATGATCACTTAATGACGCTTAATGGACTAATTAATCTCCGTGAAGTATGTGCGACCTGTGCCAGCACAGTGTTTGTGATTATTAGGACTGGGGTAACCGAAGCCGAACTTTTCAGGTAAATTGGATTGAATTGGTAAATTCGATGGGAGCTTTCAGGTTTGCTATGGAGGTAGCCCATCCATTTGGTTCATAGGAGGACCTCTGTGACTATGGGAATCCAAAGAAACGTTGACACGGGACCTTTGCCAGTGTGGTGTGGAGGCGCATTCTGTGACCTTGCCGGCTTTGAAGCTCCAAAAGATGTGCTTCTTAGAGGAAAGCCAATCAGCGACCAGACAAACATGAATGGCTCGCCAGCAAAGCTTTGAGGAACGATGATGCCTGCGGCTGATGTCCAACAATGTGTCCAGTTGGGATGAAGATGAAAACGAGAAATGAGAGCCTTTTTCCATTTCATGCATTGATTAGATCCAAAACATGTGGAAATTGTTCATGCATGCTTGTGTCATGATAAAGTCGGATGCGCACGGCTTGGGCGTCAGCTTCAAGTCACGACATGGTGGAGCAAAGACCGGATACCAGCCACAGACACAACTTGTCCAGCCAAATTTTACATAGCAACAACAGAGGAACACAAAACCTCGACGCGACACTTACTTAGCATACCATCTCCATCTATTACCAGGTACATCCATGTAGCATTTCTCGAGCCACCCGCAGCCCAGAAACGAACACAGAAAGTCTTTGGATCGCAATTTGCATCATCCAAAGTGGCCAGCAGCGCCAGAGGCGAAGATAGTCAGAATCTATTCGGGGTGAAAGTTGAAGACTGCAACTGAAACTTCCTGGGATTTCATGGGATTTAGGCAATTTTGGTCAATTTTAATCCAAATCTTGGGATTTTGGGCCCAGCTTTGTCAACAAAACCGCTTGACCTTGTTGCAGGCGGCGCATGGTGTGTGCCAGGGCCATAGCTTTGCGGGCCAGGGCTTTGTGTGAAGCAGATGCCGTGTTTTGACTTTGAAAGGCATCAGAATATTCAAAGCGTGCCGGGTTGACAAGTAAAACACGCTACAAACCCTTCATACCAGCGGGGTTCGAACGCAAAGTCGGATTACCAACTTTGACCTGATTGACCTGATAGTTGTGGCATTACTCAGTGATTACTTTTGATCCAGTATTGGATTACCAACTGAAAAAGAAACACTGAGGCGTTCACTGACCGGGTTGTGGCGTTCACTGAGGCGGCCTCAAAGTGTAGGCACTGATCAATGTTCGCCCTGAGCTGAGACATTGGCCGCGTTGACACTGGAGATGAAGCTGCCAAGGTTTAGAAAAACCATGTATAAACCCTAAACTAATACACCACTATATTACAACACTAGCTTGGTTTAGATGGTTTTGGATTGTAGCCTCAATAAATTTCAAGATACACAGTTCTTTGAACAACACTACAACTTCTAAGCCCAGAGGGATTCTAACCCAACTGGGAGTTATCAGCAGGTCTATCTGAGCAAGAAGATCGCTATACCACACCAGCTGGCATTACAGGCCAACCTTCTGTGGCTTTGCCGAAAAAAACCATGTCATACACATTGACAATACATTGACAATACATGCCATTTTCCCATCATTTTCATGCCATTTTCCCAACTGTGGGATGCCATTTCCATGATTTTCCCTGTGGGATATCAAGGTTTGCTGCCGCTGCAGGTGGTCTCATGGAATTCTGCACAGGGATGGATCGCTTGTGGTGGTGAAAGTGGCCTCCTCAAGGCGCAAAATGCCGGGCCGAGAAAATGGGCCGATCGATCATCCTGGATAGATAGCACTGAACCGGATAATCACCATTTTTATTGGGAAAACTCACTATAAATGGCCATTTTCAATAGCTATGTAACAAATTACCAGAGGGTATCATCATCAGTCAGTTCACCAAAAATGTTGGTTGAGATCATTATAAAATCCTATCACAGTCAGTGCTGAAGCGGAACAGTTGCCAGGTTCTGAAGCTAGAATCCTCCGAAGGCGGCAAAGCGGCTGCCGGTCAGAGCTCCTCGGAGGAAACTTTTTGAGGTTTTGACCTCCTTTTTGAAGGGTGTTCCTGGCCAATCCTGGCCATCCCGAGGTAATTTGTCAATGAATCAGACGTTAGAGGGGCATCAAGGCGCGACTTGAAAGAGGAAACCTGTTCCGAGATGGTAGAGCAGAGTGGTAGTGTTTTCTGGTGCCAGGCAGTTGGAAAGAGTTGGGCAGCCATTTGGATGATTTGATTTGGATGATTACCCCATTTATAGAATTTTATAGATGATTTTCCCATTAAAACCATCCATTTAGTTCCGGCTTACCCATGATAGTCTCAAATTGACTGAGTTTCTTTTAATTGCGTCAGGCTTACTTGTCCGGCTGCGCAGGCACCATCATGGTCATCACTTGGAATGAAAACTTCCGCAAGCTGACCACCAGCGACCAGTCTGGAGCTCATGCAGCTAGAGCATTGAGGAATCATCTATAAATAATATATAGATTAATTAATTAATTAATTGTATATATATATCTATAAATCATGGATATTTACCAGGAATCTATTTACCAGGAAAAACATCTATAAGTCTATAAATAATTGATATTCATGATGGATTTCCAATTGCCATTGCCATCATTGCCGATTACCTGAGGGCAGCACGTCTTGCAGTCAAGAGATTGGAAGGATGAACCTTTTTTTTTTTGGGCATCAGCAAGCATTGCCAGCAGATTTTGGAATATCTTAGACAAGTCAGGGTGCTTGGAACGCTTTGCCATTAGGAACGGCCTGATCATCGTCTGGATGCTCCATAGAGGCATCTGGTTCGAGGCCTGACGCGGACAGATTTTGGGTCAAGCGTGGCGCTGCGACACTTTGCCTTGCAGGAGATGATTAACAATCGCAACAGAAGTGTTGTGAGGGACATGAAATGGAGTTTGGGCCTTAGAATTGGACAAACAGCTGCTTTTTGCAACAGTCTGCTTGCAAGAGCACTGGCGTGCCGGAGCATGATCTGTTCAGAGAAAATTTCTTGCAAAGTAACTCCAAAATATAAATGGTTGCGAATAGCATCGCTCTTTGTCCGAGGTGCTGACTGTCAGAAGCCATTTGGCTGCATTGATTGTGTCAGGGATGAAAAAACTGTGTGACCATGAATCAAACAGGAACGGTCGAACGTACGTCTATGACGACACAGAAGCACACTCGAGACCAGCCGGTTTAGGTCCAGGTACACGTCCATTTGGATCCATTAAGGATGAATCGCTAATATTTCCCTGGCGGAAGTTTCCTGTGCGCAATGTCTTCACTTTCCAGGATTTGCATCATCTATGAAGATGGTGCAGTGATCGTTGGCACAGTCGACGGGCAAAGGTGTGGAGAGAAAAGCGGTCAGTAAGCTGGAAAACCCTACTAAAATGGATGATTTGTGGGGGTACCCCTTTTTTAGGAAACCACCATATGTACGAATATGGCTTAATGTGAGTGTGGCAAACTCATGTTTCAGAAGCTTTAGAATCCCCCTGAGTTTGTTTTTGGGCTTGCCACATTGTCTTGTTTCGGCGGTTAGCATCAATGCAGGTTATGGGGAAAGGAGGCCTGCTCCTCAGAGACACAGACACTCAATGCAGCAATGTTCATCAAGTGACCTTTTTTTTTGTGCTGAGTATGTTCGTTTCGCGCAGCGAAGATGACATGTGGAAAAAACAACAAGATCTTGAAGACCCCAGTGCGAAAAAACATCTCCAACCTTTGAGGTTAAAACGCAGTTGGCTTTTGTAGAATGGTCCCCGGATGGCAAGAACATTTTGTTCTGCACTTTGAACGGGGAGGCCCGGCGAATGGGATTTTGAAGGTTGATGTACGCACGCATGACCAAATTCCTTGTGAGTAGCCGAGTAGCTTTTGACACATGTCGTAGCTTCCAATCACAATTTTGTGCTGCAAACTGGAACTTCCCTACAACCTCCAGAGCTTTTCGATTCGCCAGATCTTAGTCTGATTCAGCTATTTCCTGATGATTTGATTTTGCATCTATGAGCTTCTGCTTCATGCAAGGTGCATGTCTATGACAATGAAGGGATTTACTCCCACAAGGTTCCGATCTACTGTCCTTCTGGCATGTTTTGGCTTTCCAAGGGGCGAAGTGTATTTGATCTTAGGTAAGGAGTTGAATTGCTCCATGCACACCACTGTTGGCGCTGCAAAACGGGTGCTTGCTACAACAGTGGGCAAGGTAAGTGCGGCGAGAACTCACATGCCAAACCTGCAGATCTATAATGTAACATAATGTAACCAACATAACAAGTCTGGATGGGGATAGGTCAAAGCCTATTATTACCATATTTTGGGGAATAAACATCCATTAGCCAGCTATTTTAAGGTACCATCCGGGTACTGGTACCAGGGTTTTGACCCATAACTCATACCCGTTTCAGTTGCCAGGTTTGGATAGCGGCACAGAGGGGACGGTGGCAATTGCGGGCATCGACTGGTTTGCAGGGCCAAGTGGTCCTGATAACCAGGCTAGGACCTAATCCGGGCATGGCACCTATTTTCAATTCCATGAACTGCTTGGGTATTTGACGGGCAGATGTTTTCATGTGCCAAAAGGGTGATTTCTCCACGAAGTTGGCTTTAGGGAGCACGAAAAGAACCACTTGAGAGACCCATGAAGAAACCGAACCGCTGCCCAGACGCCGGCTCTTTGCCTGGGCTTTGAGAATGGGCGAGTGCAGATCATGAGAAGTGCCTTGGGTGCAGCATGCCTTGGCTGCTGAGCAGTGGCCCAACTTTCCGGGTTGGTTGGAAGGGATTGGATCAGTATATGAAGTACTCATGTGCGACAACGAGTTGACCGTTTTCCTTTGAAACATGGAGAGCTCAGGTGATGCAGACGACAAACCAGTGCTTTTGGATACGCAGCTGTACCTCGGACGCACCATGCACTGAATTCTTGGTGGTGCTCACTTGAAGCCTCCCGATTTTTTTCATGTGCAATTGGCCAACAGATAACTTTTGCATACAAAAAAATTACCATCTTTTACCATCATTTTTACCCATCAATCCATGCAACATGTTGGTGAATTCTTAGATTTAGCTGGGACTGTTCGGTGATCACCAATAGCAGCAAGCAGCCTAGCAGCCAAAAATTAGGCGCTGTACGGGGCTGAAATGGGATCCCAACGGCTCGGTGGTGCTGTCCCCAGTTGCGGATTGGGAATTGGTAGGGACCTGCGCGAGGGAAGCACTTTGGAATAGGTTGGAAATGGTTGGAAAAGCCTGATTGGACAAGATTCTTTTTCAGAGTTTCCATACGTTACAGTAAAAACTGATGATTTCTCAGCCATAGATTCTTTTTCAGAGTTTCCATACGTTAAAAACTGAGAAATCAGCCATTTGGAAGACATTTTTTTCATCATCCAAAGCAGCGTTTAAAAGCCCAGCCGTAGGCAACATGGGGCATCCATATTCTGGGCAGTTTTTGATGCTAAGGTGGCCATTGCTGGTATTCAAGCACAGGGAGCCTCCAATGACCGGGAGGCCGATTTTTATCGAGACATGGTGTCGTCGAAAGGTGTCCTGGCAGGGGCTAGACATGGGGCACAACTTATGGCCATCAAATATGGTGGAAAACATGGGAAAGCCGTGAATTGAACTCTCAAGCCACCGGATGTTGGGGCCTGCAATTTTTGGACAAACACACGGCGTGGAGCCTGGAGTCCCTGGAGACCGAGTTACATACCTTGTGCATAATGGAGGGTTGGCCCCCGATAGACTCCGCTCCTGTGTTGCCAGCATGGATACGGGCAGTGGCCAGGTGGGGATTGTGCAGTTCTACGCACCAAGCGGGCAGCATTTGCGATCGTTGCAACTTGTCCAGAGCTGGATCATAGCGTGGTGGGAGTCGATCCTACTTGGCTCAGTTGAGCCAAGAATAGTCCATTTTTTGCAAGGCTATAGCTTGTGTATCTCCTTTTCTATGCAGTCCTAGCTGGGTATCTGTCAAATTGGGGCATCAATGGACGAAAGAAACCATCGAATTTTTCACTTGTGGTAAGTAAACTATAGCAACGGTATTAAAAAATCCAGTATTAATGTGGGTAAAACAATGTCATAAGATAAGCCACCCCCCAGTCATCACCATTTTTATAGGTGGTGTGGTTACCATTCCCAAATGGGTGGTTGATTGACACCAAGGCGAGTCCCTGGGCAGAATCTGCGTGCCATCTCCTGGGAAGGCCGAAACGGAAACGGAAGTGGTCTGATCCATGGGTAGCCAAAAATGATGATTTAATAGGGAGAATGGGTGAAAATGGCTCGTTTATAGATGATATACCGTATATACCAATGAAAACCATGGTGACTTTCGCAACCTGTCAAATTGCCAGAGGGTAAGTTTCAGTTTCAGCGAGAGGTATTTTTGATGTGGGGAGTTGGAAGAACATGAATTTCCATCCTGGTGTTTGGGTGATATGAAGAAGGTTGCAACCTGTGGGGATATGTACGGGTGTCCTTTTCGCACCGGTTGGTTGATCAATACAACCCCAATGAAGCACCAACGGGTAAATGATGCTTAATAGTACCAAACCACTTCATTCTCTTTTTCCTCAAGAGGGCATCAGTGGTTGCAACCCAACAAGTGGGTATCATGGTGAGTTCCAGACTTGGCCAAAGGTGCCAATGTCAACCCCTTTCAGGAAGTGGCCTTCGTCTGGCGCTGGCGGTGGACTCGCATATCTTTTTCGCCAACATCAGGTGGGGTTCATACCAGCCATAGGTTTTGATCCATGGCCAGGTACAAAGCTTGCTTTGTTCTGTGGAGTGATGCAATGTGACATGATGTGACAATTGACAATTGACAATTGACATGTACTTTTTGTATCTTTTTCTCCAGCTTAGAAAGTGTTTTAGCAGGATTTGGATGTTGCCAGTAGTGCAGTGCAGGCCAGATTACCTTTGGGGCTACTTTTCACACACCCTCGTGTACGCCGTCAAGTTCTCAGATTTTTTCGAAGAGTTTTTGTCCAGTGAAGCCCTGAACATCCATATCCACATCGGGCTGCAAGGTGCTTCGAAAGGAGCGGAACGAACATGTTGTGGTCTTCTGGGACACCCATACGGATGAATCTTGGCGAATTATATATGTTAATTATATTTAATTATGTTGTGTATTGCAGGATCATTTTGTGATATTTTATGTCCTGATCTTAGACTTTTTCCATCTTTTTCTGTTGCATTCATCCCGTCGCCGAGGAAAAGTACACAAAGTACATCAAGCATGTGACGTGCCTTTGCTCCAAAGAGGGTAGGCTTGTCGTCAGATGTCCTTGTTATTGACCTTACCGGTTTTTTCTTCATCGCTCTGTAGTTTCATCCCGGGCTCCTTTGAGTCAAGGCATGCAAACTATTGAATAATTGAATCCAGTTTGCATGTCAGTATGATTTCATGCTGCCGCGACAAATCAGTGGTTCAAACATTTTGTACAGCGCTTGGCGGTGCTTGTGTTTCCTACGTGACGTGATGTTGACCCTCCTAAGTGCTTTGGTGTTGACATCAGCGATGGGGCACCCGGATTGGTGTGATTTGGTGCCATTAAGCTCCCAGCGACAAGTGTCCCAATGAAGCTTGGCAGAAAGTATGGGTACGGTTCGTGACTTTAATGGGTACCGGGCACCACAAAGTTCCGATCACCTATCTCTGCAACCAGGATTCTTGGGTTTCAACCTTCGAGACATTCCCAACATCTCCCATAGTTTTCCCGGAAATTTCAAAGGGTGATTGTATACATATGTGCGTGCGTTCACATTTTGTGGACATCTCGTTTGTTCCATGGCAACTTCTTGAAGTTGGAAGCTGGGCCAAGGCAAGGGCTATGTCTATCCTTCAATGAAGTCTGGCTCCATCTGTGCGAGTTGGTGCCAGTGGATCCCGGGTACATCCTGGGGAGCAACCTCCGATTGCAGCGACTGCTACAACTTGTACTCTGAGCATTACAAGAACCACAGGTCAGCCAGTTCACTGCAGCATCAAAACGGATGCCAGGATGCCTGCCGCTGGCTGTCAAGGCCCGTTTCGCCACAAAAAAAAGCTTTCTCATGCTCAAAGTTCTCAGTTGAATTGGGGACAATTGAAATCCAGAATTTTGTGATGTAAACATATACGTGGTAGAAGCATGTAGAAGCAGGTTGACCTTGGGCCTTACGACCTTCGATTAAAATATGAGCTGGCCCGGGCCAGCTGTTTGATACCTCTGGTCACCCCATATCTCACTCCGAGGCCTCATTGGGGCAGGCACCCCAGTTGCAGAAAGTGCGAAGATACGGTGCCTCTCATCATCCTTCCCATGGCCTTTCAACAGATTTCGGCAACAGAACAGCCATTGTCTGGTTTGAAGCTGAAGACAGTTCAGGCACAGCAGCCAGATTGGTGCAAGTGGGTGCCTTGCTCTGAGAAGCACCAGCAGCACAATAATTTTATATAATTTTGCACTGCTTGAAGATTGTAGTGTAGAGACAAATGACATGGGGTGCCAGTTGTATCACATTCACTCCATTCATTTCTATTTAAAATCGATTTAAGGCACCAAGTATCACCTTCTGACACTCAGCCACAACATCAGCCCAGGTACCCGTGGGCTCTTTACACTATGTGGACGAGTGCTATGGCGTTAGCGTAGCATCGGACCCTGGCGTCGGGTGTAAGACGTGGTGTGTCTGGAGCCCAGCCACATCTTGGAACTACATGCCTGAGTGTCGCCGCTGCTCCCCCGAGACGCTTCCAACAGAGACTTGCTTCCAACATGAACCATTTCTTGGGTCAGTGAAAGTTGTTGGAAAGTCCACTGAATTCTTGGGTCAGTGAAAGTTGTTGGAAAGTCCACTGAATTCTTGGGTCAGTGAAAGTTGTTGGAAAGTCCACTGAATTCTTGGGTCAGTGAAAGTTGTTGGAAAGTCCACTGAATTCTTGGGTCAGTGAAAGTTGTTGGAAAGTCCACTGAATTCTTGGGTCAGTGAAAGTTGTTGGAAAGTCCACTGAATTCTTGGGTCAGTGAAAGTTGTTGGAAAGTCCACTGAATTCTTGGGTCAGTGAAAGTTGTTGGAAAGTCCACTGAATTCTTGGGTCAGTGAAAGTTGTTGGAAAGTCCACTGAATTCTTGGGTCAGTGAAAGTTGTTGGAAAGTCCACTGAATTCTTGGGTCAGTGAAAGTTGTTGGAAAGTCCACTGAATTCTTGGGTCAGTGAAAGTTGTTGGAAAGTCCACTGAATTCTTGGGTCAATGAAAGTTGTTGGAAAGTCCACTGAATTCTTGGGTCAATGAAAGTTGTTGGAAAGTCCACTGAATTCTTGGGTCAGTGAAAGTTGTTGGAAAGTCCACTGAATTCTTGGGTCAGTGAAAGTTGTTGGAAAGTCCACTGAATTCTTGGGTCAGTGAAAGTTGTTGGAAAGTCCACTGAATTCTTGGGTCAGTGAAAGTTGTTGGAAAATCCACTGAATTCTTGGGTCAGTGAAAGTTGTTGGAAAGTCCACTGAATTCTTGGGTCAGTGAAAGTTGTTGGAAAGTCCACTGAATTCTTGGGTCAGTGAAAGTTGTTGGAAAGTCCACTGAATTCTTGGGTCAGTGAAAGTTGTTGGAAAGTCCAGTGAATTCTTGGGTCAGTGAAAGTTGTTGGAAAGTCCACTGAATTCTTGGGTCAGTGAAAGTTGTTGGAAAGTCCACTGAATTCTTGGGTCAGTGAAAGTTGTTGGAAAGTCCAGTGAATTCTTGGGTCAGTGAAAGTTGTTGGAAAGTCCAGTGAATTCTTGGGTCAGTGAAAGTTGTTGGAAAGTCCAGTGAATTCTTGGGTCAGTGAAAGTTGTTGGAAAGTCCAGTGAATTCTTGGGTCAGTGAAAGTTGTTGGAAAGTCCACTGAATTCTTGGATCAGTGAAAGTTGTTGGAAAGTCCAGTGAATTCTTGGGTCAGTGAAAGTTGTTGGAAAGTCCAGTGAATTCTTGGGTCAGTGAAAGTTGTTGGAAAGTCCAGTGAATTCTTGGGTCAGTGAAAGTTGTTGGAAAGTCCAGTGAATTCTTGGGTCAGTGAAAGTTGTTGGAAAGTCCACTGAATTCTTGGATCAGTGAAAGTTGTTGGAAAGTCAGTGAATTCTTGGGTCAGTGAAAGTTGTTGGAAAGTGTTGGAAAAGTCCAGTGAATTCTTGGGCAGTGAAAGTTGTGGAAAGTCCAGGTGAATTCTTGGGTCAGTGAAAGTTGTTGGAAAGTTCCATGTGAATTCTTGCGGTCAGTGAAAGTTGTTGGAAAGGTCCACTGAATCTGGGTCAGTGAAAAAGTTGTTGGAAGTCCACTGAATTCTTGGGTAGGTCAATGAAAGTTGTTGGAAAGTCACTGAAATTCTTGGGTCATGAAGTTGTTGGAAAAGTCCAATGAATTCTTGGGTAATGAAAGTTGTTGGAAAGTCACTGGATCTTGGGTCAGGAAATTTGTTAGAAAGAAGTCCACTGAATTCTTGGGTCAATGAGAGTTGTTGGAAAGTCCACTGAATTCTTGGGTCAGTGAAAGTTGTTGGAAAGTCCACTGAATTCTTGGGTCAGTGAAAGTTGTTGGAAAGTCCACTGAATTCTTGGGTCGGTGAAAGTTGTTGGAAAGTCCACTGAATTCTTGGGTCAGTGAAAGTTGTTGGAAAGTCCACTGAATTCTTGGGTCAGTGAAAGTTGTTGGAAAGTCCACTGAATTCTTGGGTCAGTGAAAGTTGTTGGAAAGTCCACTGAATTCTTGGGTCAGTGAAAGTTGTTGGAAAGTCCACTGAATTCTTGGGTCAGTGAAAGTTGTTGGAAAATCCACTGAATTCTTGGGTCAGTGAAAGTTGTTGGAAAGTCCACTGAATTCTTGGGTCAGTGAAAGTTGTTGGAAAGTCCACTGAATTCTTGGGTCAGTGAAAGTTGTTGGAAAGTCCACTGAATTCTTGGGTCAATGAAAGTTGTTGGAAAGTCCACTGAATTCTTGGGTCAATGAAAGTTGTTGGAACGTCCAGTGAATTCTTGGGTCAATGAAAGTTGTTGGAAAGTCCACTGAATTCTTGGGTCAGTGAAAGTTGTTGGAACTTCCACTGAATTCTTGGGTCAGTGAAAGTTGTTGGAAAGTCCACTGAATTCTTGGGTCCACTGAATTCTTGGGTCAGTGAAGTTGTTGGAAAGTCCACTGAATTCTTGGGTCAGTGAAAGTTGTTGGAAAGTCCACTGAATTCTTGGGTCAGTGAAAGTTGTTGGAAAGTCCACTGAATTCTTGGGTCAGTGAAAGTTGTTGGAAAGTCCACTGAATTCTTGGGTCAGTGAAAGTTGTTGGAAAGTCCACTGAATTCTTGGGTCAAAAAGTCCCACTGAATTCTTGGGTCAATGAAAGTTGTTGGAAAGTCCACTGAATTCTTGGGTCAGTGAAAGTTGTTGGAAAGTCCACTGAATTCTTGGGTCAATGAAAGTTGTTGGAAAGTCCACTGAATTCTTGGGTCAGAAAGTTGTTGGAACGTCCAGTGAATTCTTGGGTCAATGAAAGTTGTTGGAAAGTCCACTGAATTCTTGGGTCAGTGAAAGTTGTTGGAACTTCCACTGAATTCTTGGGTCAGTGAAAGTTGTTGGAAAGTCCACTGAATTCTTGGGTCAGTGAAAGTTGTTGGAAAGTCCAGTTAATTCTTGGGTCAGTGAAAGTTGTTGGAAAGTCCAGTGAATTCTTGGGTCAGTGAAAGTTGTTGGAAAGTCCACTGAATTCTTGGGTCAGTGAAAGTTGTTGGAAAGTCCACTGAATTCTTGGGTCAGTGAAAGTTGTTGGAAAGTCCACTGAATTCTTGGGTCAGTGAAAGTTGTTGGAAAGTCCACTGAATTCTTGGGTCAGTGAAAGTTGTTGGAAAGTCCACTGAATTCTTGGGTCAGTGAAAGTTGTTGGAAAGTCCACTGAATTCTTGGGTCAGTGAAAGTTGTTGGAAAGTCCACTGAATTCTTGGGTCAGTGAAAGTTGTTGGAAAGTCCACTGAATTCTTGGGTCAGTGAAAGTTGTTGGAAAGTCCACTGAATTCTTGGGTCAGTGAAAGTTGTTGGAAAGTCCACTGAATTCTTGGGTCAGTGAAAGTTGTTGGAAAGTCCACTGAATTCTTGGGTCAGTGAAAGTTGTTGGAAAGTCCACTGAATTCTTGGGTCAGTGAAAGTTGTTGGAAAGTCCACTGAATTCTTGGGTCAGTGAAAGTTGTTGGAAAGTCCACTGAATTCTTGGGTCAGTGAAAGTTGTTGGAAAGTCCACTGAATTCTTGGGTCAGTGAAAGTTGGGTCAATGAAAGTTGTTGGAAAGTCCACTGAATTCTTGGGTCAGTGAAAGTTGTTGGAAAGTCCACTGAATTCTTGGGTCAGTGAAAGTTGTTGGAAAGTCCACTGAATTCTTGGGTCAGTGAAAGTTGTTGGAAAGTCCACTGAATTCTTGGGTCAGTGAAAGTTGTTGGAAAGTCCACTGAATTCTTGGGTCAGTGAAAGTTGTTGGAAAGTCCACTGAATTCTTGGGTCAGTGAAAGTTGTTGGAAAGTCCACTGAATTCTTGGGTCAGTGAAAGTTGTTGGAAAGTCCACTGAATTCTTGGGTCAGTGAAAGTTGTTGGAAAGTCCACTGAATTCTTGGGTCAGTGAAAGTTGTTGGAAAGTCCACTGAATTCTTGGGTCAGTGAAAGTTGTTGGAAAAAAATTCTTGGGTCAAAAGTTGTTGGAAAGTCCACTGAATTCTGGGTCAGTGAAAGTTGTTGGAAAGTCCACTGAATTCTTGGGTCAGTGAAAGTTGTTGGAAAGTCCACTGAATTCTTGGGTCAGTGAAATTTGTTGGAAAGTCCACTGAATTCTTGGGTCAGTGAAAGTTGTTGGAAAGTCCACTGAATTCTTGGGTCAGTGAAAGTTGTTGGAAAGTCCACTGAATTCTTGGGTCAGTGAAATTTGTTGGAAAGTCCACTGAATTCTTGGGTCAGTGAAAGTTGTTGGAAAGTCCACTGAATTCTTGAGTCAGTGAAAGTTGTTGGAAAGTCCACTGAATTCTTGGGTCAGTGAAAGTTGTTGCAAAGTCCACCGAATTCTTGGGTCAATGAAAGTTGTTGGAATGTCGGGTCAGTGAAAGTTGTTGGAAAGTCCACTGAATTCTTGGGTCAGTGAAAGTTGTTGGAAAGTCCACTGAATTCTTGGGTCAGTGAAAGTTGTTGGAAAGTCCACTGAATTCTTGGGTCAGTGAAAGTTGTTGGAAAGTCCACTGAATTCTTGGGTCAGTGAAAGTTGTTGGAAAGTCCACTGAATTCTTGGGTCAGTGAAAGTTGTTGGAAAGTCCACTGAATTCCTGGGTCAGTGAGAGTTGTTGGAAAGTCCACTGAATTCTTGGGTCAGTGAGAGTTGTTGGAAAGTCCACTGAATTCTTGGGTCAGTGAAAGTTGTTGGAAAGTCCACCGAATTCTTGGGTCAGTGAGAGTTGTTGGAAAGTCCACTGAATTCTTGGGTCAGTGAAAGTTGTTGCAAAGTCCACTGAATTCTTGGGTCAGTGAAAGTTGTTGGAAAGTCCACCGAATTCTTGGGTCAGTGAGAGTTGTTGGAAAGTCCACTGAATTCTTGGGTCAGTGAAAGTTGTTGGAAAGTCCACTGAATTTTTGGGTCAGTGAAAGTTGTTGGAAAGTCCAGTGAATTCTTGGGTCAGTGAAAGTTGTTGGAAAGTCCACTGAATTCTTGGGTCAGTGAAAGTTGTTCGAAAGTCCACTGAATTCTTGGGTCAGTGAAAGTTGTTGCAAAGTCCACTGAATTCTTGGGTCAGTGAAAGTTGTTGGAAAGTCCACTGAATTCTTGGGTCAGTGAAAGTTGTTGGAAAGTCCACTGAATTCTTGGGTCAGTGAAAGTTGTTGGAAAGTCCACTTTCTTCAACTTTTTTTTTTCTGTAGGGTCTGCAGGCACCAAATTTTGGGAAATTCCCAGGCCGTTCGAAATGGCTGCGAAGATTGGTGTCGTTGGGTCTCACGACCTGCCTGGCTGGACACCCCCGACTGTTCCAACTGCCACCGTGACCACGACCGTGGCCAGGGCAGCCAGAACAATACCACAGACACCACTGGTGACACCGGCACAGAAACTACCCAGCTGCCATGAGAAGATCCGGAAGAAAAGCCCAAAACCAGAGCTGCAGAGCTCAGTTCCCAATTGTACAGAAGAAAAGAACAGTTTGAAGTTTGAAAGCCTTTCAAAATCTTTCAAAATTTTTGTTTGCCGAAGAGTATTCTGAAATGTACAAAGCATGCAATTCGTACAAAGTTCTAAGTTCTAAGCGATTTTGCCTGACCTCTTACTGGTCAGATCTGGTCAGTTTAGTCCGCAGTGCCAGAATGATCTGTTCCACTCTGCGGAGCTGGTGAATCTGGTGCCATGTACCTGGGCAAGTGACTCCCCTTGAGTGACAGAGTGCTCACTGGAAGCTCAGGATGCACAGCGCAGGATCGGCCGGGTTCATCCAAAAAGGAGGACAGGAGGCATTCTGCCCTCGTGGTATCTCATGGTTTTCAGATGTTTTCAGGGGTTTTCAGTGCGTAAACAGCTTTAAACAGAAGAATCAACGTCCGAGCAAGCCATGCTAGTGATGCTAGTGAACCCAAAGATAGTTCCACCCCAGAGGTTATGGCCCAAAAATGTTCGACCTTTCCAAAAACTGGGGCACGAAATCTCACCACTTGAGGCACATTCGCTCCTCCGAAGAGTATTGTGTGCTTGTCACGAAGGTGGGCCCTCCGAGCCTTGGTGGTTCTGGCACTGCCCCCGAAGCTGGTTGAAGGTAATACAATTATCTACTTCACTTCTCATAACTTCTCATATTATACTATTATGTTAATTCGACATACGATAATTACATCTACAATCATATACACGTAATTCAACCATATAGTACATGAGAAAATCGTCTTAGATAATTATATATGGTGAACCATATATATATATATGAATGTTATATAATTTTATATGAATTGTGAACACTATAGTTGAACTATTCTTGATACGTAATCATATATAGTTAATTGGAATAGCACCATTGTCACCAGTCGCCAGGCCGATGATTCCAGCGGGCAGCACATTGTGGCCAAGCTGCGAAGGATGGCGAAGGATGGGGCGACGGCGATCCATGGAGATTAATAGTATTTTCGATGATATTAGCATAGTAGGGGATGGTCACATCCCCATGTTTATTAATATGTTTATATATATAGTGCTATAGTATAGGTGCTTTTTATCTATCTTTATATAGTGGTACGCACACACACACACATATATATGCATACATGATATATGATATGAATGTATATTCCATCCTATATTCATAGGATGTCTCCAACAGTGATGGGAAGATCATGCGCCATATACCATGTTTTGACCATGGCACCATTCAAGAATGGATGAACATCCATCCAAAAAAAGCAACTCAATTTTTGTTTGAACATTCAGAATTCCAGGGGATTCCACTGACCCACAGCCATGTGTGAATGATGATCAAACATGGGGATAATCATCAATCAATGGGGGGTTATCAACATTCTTTCATGATGATTCCCAATTGATTGATGATTGATGATGGGGATGGGACGATGCTGTACCTGAAGTGAATTTTGACTTCTCCACTTCAACATTCAACTGCAGGTTTCAATCTGGGTACACCCCTATATTGGAAATCAGTTGGCCACATGAGAATGGTGCCTGCAACTATCGTTCTGCTTGGTTTTTGTGGCTTTGTTTTGGGGCCCCGCTTGAAACAATGAACTTTGACAAACCTGTTTGGTACCCATATTGTTGTTATGTTCCAGGTTGTCCCATTACAGTTGCTGACATACTCCATCAAAAATCGATGTTAAAAACCGGATGAAGCCATACTTTTGGTGGATAAACGCCATGGATCCATATGGATCAACCGGATCAATCGTTGACCTGAAAAGTTCGTTGCGTTAACCGGGTTGCGTTAACCTCAATCCTGGAATTATGATGTCCGCCTTCTACATCTCCATTGAATGTCCTCATGGATTTATATAAGGGTGAACCATTTTTGCTCAACAAGAGTATCCACATGATCTTACTCATATCATGCTAGTTATTAATACCATTCATATCCTATTGATCCCAGTTATCCAATTGATCTCCCATCCGCAATTATCCCATTAATATCCTCTCCATGAACTCGATTAATAACATCTGTCCAGTTATTGCAGGGGTTGGTAACTGTCCCATTTTGGGAATATTTGACATCACCCTTATAGTAGCCATTATAGACCATATACCTAGTGGTTGGGTGATGTTCAATGGGGACATTTAATGACCCATGTATTGATATCATGTCCTATGAATCGATCCCCATGAACCGCTGAGGTCATTGTCTGCAACGACATTGGCAGCCCAGTGGACTCCAAGTGCGCAGAGAAAATTTCGATCCCGGAAGGACATGTACTCATCGGGCTATATCTCAAGATTTTATACCTATGAATGTATATGTATGAGTATATATAATTACATATATATATATACATATGTATATATATATATGTATATATATACATGTATCCGAGTGGGAAGTGGTGATTAGCCTATCTCGGGTACCATTGTTACCCAACAACTTGCCACTTACCTAGTGATCGTCCTAGGACTTGCAATTGGTTCAGTGTCTTTCAGATCCACAAATCCAAGGTACATGCAGCTGGAGCCCATGCATGTAGCCATGACGAATTCCCACGTCATCGCGACATCCGAGGACTGAAAAAACTCAAAGAGCGACTCTGAGAGTTGAGAGGTAATGGGGGTTGTCTCAAGATTTGGACAAAATTAACATCTAATTTTTTCGATCATTTTCCCTATTGTCATGAGATGGGGAATCTCCCAACTGTTCAAAAAAGTTCATAATTATATGAGGAGTCCTTTGGGCCAAACGTTGGATCCCTAGAACTACCATGAACTACCATGAACTACCATAAAGTGGCAGTCCTTTTTGGCCCTGAAGCCCTGTGGGTGCCCGTGAGGACGTAGTATATATCTGGAACTACCGGAGCAGTGTGTCACGACAAGCGCAGGCGGGGTCGATGCGGGAGTAGCCATCCTGGAGTAGATAGAATGTGGATATTTCAAAAAATCCTCATTCGATATTTGATCCTGGATGACATTGATATCATATGGAAATTTGATCCTCTACTCCAATTGCATATTTCAAAATATACTAAAATGGGAATATGATTGACATTTGATATTCTATCGAATTGTTTCAGGATGATTATATTGGCAAGATGCTTTTTCTTACGTTGCTGTACGAATTTTGAACTGCACTTGTACACCGCCCGTAACTCGGGTATGGAAAAAATGGGGATGGGTCAAAACCCAAAGTACCCGGTACCCGGTGTTCATGGGATGAACCTCCAGCCTTTTGCAGCTAGGCTATTTGTCCGCTATTTGGCTGTTCAACAGGTCTTTCATCGATAACGAGTGGACCCCCCCTGTTATGTTTGTTGGTTTCTAACCCCCATTAACTATAATTATATATATATATACACACAATATACACAGTATATGTATATAGCTCCACCATAAGCCCTAGTTATTGGAGTTATAAACCAATTCGGCAGCAACCTGGGGCACCACCCTACAGCCATATTTTGCAAGTCAGACACGTCTCTCTGCCAGGGCGATTTGGCATCAGCTGCTGCTGGCATGAAGCAGTGCTGCCGGCCAAGTTTTTCTTCGCTATGGGAGCCTGGAAGTAATCACTGGATAAGGGAACTTTGAGGATTTCACAAGACGCCTTTGGAGAGATTTTTTTGCCAACTTTTCTGGTCATGTGTCAGTGGCTCAGTTTTTTGCCGCCATGTGGACCATGTCCGGATTTCTGGGGTGTCGCGGCCAGGAGGCGAGCCGAGATGATGTGGAGCTGGCCGAGTTGGGCCTAGTTGGGCCTGGGCCCATTGGGACATAGCCATGAAAGAGGTACCAAATGGTAAAATATTAGGGCATATATCCTATGGTCTAAAAGACATATTCGCCCAAATGGATCTGTATAGATCAGTTAAGTCTTCTTTTCTCCGACATGAACATCTTTGGTTCACAAAAAAGGTTGGTGGGATTTGTCTGCTATTGCTGAAAGGCATACTGCAGCTGCTGACAATGCCAGGTTTCACATCGATGAATCCTTTGCTCCGGGCTCTGGCACTCATGACAAGGATGGCTTCGTGCCTCCTTCCACGACGACCCAGGAGGGGCTTGGAGTTGCCAACCCTTGTGGTGTTTCTTTGACATCGTTTGGAACACATGTGACATAGGGATGTTTTCAAGTGCTCTTTGATGAGAAATTCCGCATTTGTTTTGAAGAATGTCGCTGGTCAGATTTACCGCTTAAGCCACAGGATCCAATCGCATGCATTTGTGCAACAGAGCAATGCCTCCTTGTGGCGCGGGAGAGTGGTGTAGTGCAACGATATGCCTTGCGAATGACTCAGAACAAGACTGAGCACCTGGGAAGAAACACGGTTGTCATTTGGAAGACTAAAGTTGCTATTAAATAGATTGCCAAGTTCCCAGATTTGGCTGGAGGAAACAATGACAGGAGAAACGATGGGAAAATGCGAAAAACCTATAATTACTATATTTAGTATTTGGTAAAAGCCATGATTTCCTGAGATTTGCCAATCCATTGATTGCTTGGTGCAGTTGAAATTGGTACCTCTCAGGCCACATTTGGCATTGGAGGCTCGCTTCACCATCCGCTGCCGCCCACAGGCCTGGCCGATGCATGTTGCCTCAACGTTTTGTTGGAGCAATGCTCCTACTGTATCAGGTTGTGGGTTATATATATATACTGTATATATTAATATGCGCATGTGTATGTATATTTCTATATAATATATATATATGTATAATACACATCTCCATTCTATCCCCATGGTTGGTTTTTCATCCCTTGGTTTTTGAAGCCAAGGCTCTCCCAAAGCTCTCCCAGCCTATCCACTCCGCGTTGGCTGCGCCCCACAGCTGCCAGGTGATTGCGGCCAACTGTGAGAGCACGAGGATGTCTGTCATTGACATCAATGGGGTTGCTCGACTCGACATCTCCACATCGGGGTGTGGGTCATGTCCCGTTGTCCGAAAAATGGGGGGGATATCCATGGATATCCCAGTTATTGCCTGATGGGATATTACAATTGGTGTAATCATGGGATACAACGGAATGTTATGAATTAGAATCAGCCATATGGGGTATTTGTAGGGATTCCAACAAACAAAGGGAATTTCACCAGCAATGTTTTTTTTTTAAAGCGGCTTTAAGAAACTATTTTGCAGATACTTGGGATATAATGGGATGTTGATGGGATATATCACCAATCCATTTGATATTTGGATGTGTCATGCAGGATACCCCGATTTGCTGGTACTGATGGGACAATTTGTGATGGTAAAACCATGGGATTTGCGCAGGACACAAAGCTCAGTTCTGGGCTTCCTGAACGCCTTCTGGATCCGATAAATCACGTATGGTCAATGGGTCAATGGGTTTCCTGAACATGTGAACAAGTGAAATATAGCTGAAATATATGTTCTGTTCAGAAGTCACAATTTGTGGAGAGACATTTAGTTGTTCATAGCGGCTATATCACCATCTTGAGGACTTCTGATATGTGACCCATGCCCATCAGCCGATCTCCATCTGTCGGTCACTGAGGTTCTTTTGCTCTTCGACATTGAGGTCAGGGGCCAGGGAACGTCTCGATGGTACACACTTCAGTTGCCAAGCGTCCTGAACATGTGTTTTAATGTATGTATATAACATAAGTATAATATATAGATATATATATATATCTATGCATATAAGTATAATATATAGATATATACCTACGTACCATACCACATACATGTATATATTATTTCTTTATACAGTACACATACATGTATTTTTGAACTTACTTATATGTATGTATGTATGTATGTAATGTAATGTAATGTAATGTAATGTAATGTAATGTAATGTAATGTAATGTAATGTAAGTAATGTATGTAATGTATGTAATGTATGTAATGTATGTAATGTATGTAATGTATGTAATGTATGTAATGTATGTAATGTATGTAATGTATGTAATGTATGTAATGTATGTAATGTATGTAATGTATGTAATGTATGTAATGTATGTAATGTATGTAATGTATGTAATGTATGTAATGTAATGTAATGTATGTATGTATGTATGTAATGTTATGTATGTAATGTTATGTATGTAATGTATGTTATGTAATGTATGTTATGTAATGTATGTAATGTATGTAATGTATGTAATGTATGTAATGTATGTAATGTATGTAATGTATGTAATGTATGTAATGTATGTAATGTATGTAAGGTATGTAAGGTATGTAAGGTATGTAAGGTATGTAAGGTATGTAGTGTATGTAATGTATGTAATGTATGTGATGTATGTAATGTATGTATGGTATGTATGGTATGTATGGTAGGTATGGTATGTATGGTAGGTATGGTATGTATGGTATGTATGTATGGTATGTATGTATGGTATGTATGTATGGTATGTTTGTATGGTATGTATGTATGGTATGTATGGTATGTATGGTATGGTATGTATGGTATGGTATGTATGTATGGTATGTATGTATGGTATGTATGGTATGTATGGTATGTATGGTATGTATGGTATGTATGGTATGTATGGTATGTATGGTATGTATGGTATGTATGGTATGTATGGTATGTATGGTATGTATGGTATGTATGGTATGTATGGTATGTATGTTATGGTATGTATGGTATGTATGTTATGGTATGTATGGTATGTATGTTATGTATGTATGGTATGTATGGTATGTATGGTATGTATGGTATGTATGGTATGTATGGTATGT